AGAGGAGTGTTTGGGGTGGGGGGTTGGTCCTGACCACATCTCGAGGTTTGCCAGTGATCTCAGGTAGTGGGCACATGTTGGAAGCCAAGCCTGAACCTTGTGAGGACGAGTGTATCCTAGGGCAAGACAAGAGAGGAACTGGACATTTTGCCTACATTTCACAGCTTTTTCTGTCCTTTCATCTGCAACAAGTGGCCCAGTATTCTCTCCTTCCCTTCCTGTCTTCTGTATTTTAGGCCATAACCTTGGGTTTTTGTGTCCTGCTCACCTCTGGTGTTTCTTCTCCAGCTGCTCAGGAGGACCTCTCACAAAAACTCCTACACGGCATCCCATTTTTCCTTGGGGGCCAGTAAGTAGGAGATCAGCACGGTCAGCCTTCTGACTATAAGAGAGCAGGTGGGTTCCCTCCAGCCACCCCCACCTCCACCTCTCCCTGCCTTCTAGGGACAAGGGAGCAAGCTGTGATGGCCTTGGAAGTGGGCGAAGGGTATTGGGTGCTTTGTACATGCAGCTTGTTCTCGAGCCCTCCCTCAATTTTATATCCTTACCCTCCCTTTCCTGTTCTCCTCTGGAACTTGCAGAAGAGTTGGGGCTTTTTAGGGAGAATCCCTACCTCTGTCATCACTGAACCAGTACATGTCCACTGTCCACTGGCCCTGCTTGGACTGGAATGGGATTTGAGGCTGCCAGTGTAAAAATACTACCCAAGAAGAGAGAGGACTAGAATAAGAATTCTAATAAGAATTCTAATAAGAATTCCTTATCCAGCTTAGCAATTGCCCTCAACTCAATATCAAACCTTCCCTCTCCAAGAAGAAAACTGTTGCTAAGCCAGAGAAATGTCATGTAGCTTCTTTCACATTCCTTTTTTGTGTTCACTTTACTGGATTCCTTGCTCTTCTCTTCCTCACTCCCCAACTCTATTTCCCCTAAAACAGGATCTGTTTTAGAATTGGTCTCCTCTCCCTTCTGAGAATCCATTCCTGTGCTATCCAGAAACCTTGGATTTACTGTGAAAGGTAGGGGTATAACAAAAAATGTTTTGTTGCATCCTTCCTGGAGCCCACCCAATCAATTACCCAAGTGTAAGCTATTTAAATGTGTGCTATTATTAATTGCTTCTCTGCTTTTGGCTAAGATTGAGTATAGATGTACACTATTATTAGAATTGGAGTACTTTCAGAAGCCCTGTTCTGGTATTGGGTCATAGCTGACCACACTCCAGCTCACCCTCACCCTGCTACTATATTTCTTCATCCACATTCCTGCCACCTGAATTTAGGAGGTAACTTTAAAGCTTTCCCCCATTCCTAAGGTTTCAGGAGAACTTACTATAACAGGTAGGAACTCCAAAGCAAAGTTCATTTTTCTCACATTGTGTTACCTAGGACTCGTCTTGGTAACTAAATAAGTACGCTTACCTCCCATCACACTGTCTTTGACAGCCAATTTCTACACCAATTTTGACACCTTATCCTTCGCTTAGGCCCATCCCTTTTTGACACACTTTGATGATGTTGGACAGCCAGGCTTAACCCCTGTGGCATCCTTAAGAGGCAGACATCATAGTTGTAGTCAAAGTCCTTTATTGGGAAAAAGAGATTAGGAATAAGCTGAGGAGAGAAGTGCTCCCCTTCCTAGGGACACAGGTACTGCTCGGCAGCTGGAGGGAACAGGGCTTCACCATGATTACATTTCCTGGTTCCTGACCATTTCTAAGCCCATCTTCACCTCCCTATGCCCTCCACCCTCCACTTGCTATAACGTGCCAACACAGTCTTCCACAGCAGATAGCAGCACCTCCTGCCAATTTTGCTTTTATTCCAAGACTAGTACATTGGGCTTCAGCTGACCCAAGTCTGTGATGGTAAAGGAGAGGCAATGAAGGAAGAAGGAGACGGGGTGACATTGGGCACAAGGGAACAAAAAGTGATGCAGTTCGGCAGGGTGACTTGCATGAGGCTTTGGGCCCTAGAACATAGCCCGGCGTTAGATATGACTATATAGAATGAATGAATCTTCCAGTCATTTAGCCAGTTGACATAATTCTTAGAACCTTGAATGGCTTGGGGCTGCTAAGAGGGGGAGGCAGAAATGTAGGCTGTGACTGTCCTTTCCTTAAAGCATCCTTCTACCAACCCTCACTACTCTCTGAGTTCTCTGAACTCACTCACTGACCCTGTTGATCTGCCCACCCCTTTTTCTTCCCTGTACTTAGTCCCCTCCCACTGAGAGCCCTTTTTTCTCTCACCAAGACCACATTCCCACAGATTACAAGATTCACGTTCTTGTGAAGACCTGCCCAAAATCCCCAGGGCTGGAGATCACCTGCCCTGTCCCATGGGAGAGCAGGCTTCCTGGCACCAGAAAAGTATGTCATATGTGATGGAGGCCCGAGACTAACAGCTGCATGTGAAATGTTGCCAATTAATTTTTTTTCTAATTGTAAATGCTGTGCAACCTGAACCAAACTCATTTGAAGGCAAGATCCAATTCAGAGGCTATCAGTTTTCAAACCCTGGTCTAGAGACTACCTCACCGGAAGTTCTCGACATGGTCCTGCATGTTGGTCAGGCTCACTAAGTAGGACGGTGCTCTTTCTCTTTTCATCACTAATACCCTAGCACCTCAGAGAGGCAGAAACCAGGACACCAGGTTATTCTGGATAGGAGGCAGGAGTGGAGGGCCTTACCGACGGAGGTAAGAAAGTGTGGTCCACGTGATGACAAAGAGGGCTCCTTTGGGGAGAGCTGGCGCAGGGTTCTGATAACAAAAGTTGAACCATAGATGACTAGGAAGAATATGCTTTATGCCTGGACATCCTTCTCACCTTGAGGTCCCCAGAGATATTGGTCCCAATGGATACCCCATGGCTAAGGAGAAGATGGGAAACATACCAAAGAAACTGCCTTCCAGACCATGCCATTATTTTCCAAGAAAATGCTTCCAACATAAAAGTTCAGGGAGAAAAGATGGAGTTTTGAAGAGTATCTCTGGCTTCCCTTCATTCAGCCAAGATTATTACCCCTCTACTAAGTTTAGTGCCAGTAACTTAGGTGATGGTGGGAAGAATAAGGGAATTTTGCAAACTAGCCAGCCTAGGAACTTACAGACTTCGAGTGGTCTGATGGTCAGTTTACAAATTAAATACAGAATCAGAAGTCAAGGGGTCTTTTCTGAAGAGGTTTGGGCTAATGAGGTCCCTGCTCCAAGGGGAGGTATTCATTCCCTTTTGTGCATTTCTCATTTCTCAGCCATCATCCCACTATCTCACCTTGGTACCCAAAGAAGCCAGTGGCTGGGGTTTGTGGGAGGAATGTTGCAAGCTGGTAGCTGATAGAGGAGAAGGAAGAAGATAATTTGGACCTGAAATACCACAAGTGAAGAAAAAAAAAAAAAGGAGAAATGTGAGTGGAAGGAAAGGAGTAACAATCTACTTCACCTCCTTTCTTTGTCCCATTTTCACTCTCCCCTCTTTTCCTACCAGTCTTTTCCGTGAGTGTGGCTAAATGGGAGTCCTTTTTCTTTTTGCCTCAAACAGCAGTGTCCCTCTGCATTCCAGGGCGGGGTGTGTGTGTGTGTGTGTGTGTGTGTGTGTGTGTGTGTGTGTGTGTGTATCTCAAGATTTTAAGTATCTGGAAGCAAGAAACAGAATTTCTCATCTGGTAGTCTTATCTGGTACTCATCCCAACAGATCCTCAGAATGAGTCCTACTTTCCCCTTGAAGAACTGACATGAGTTTCTTACAGCAAAACTGTCCAGTTTCAGATTTGGGCCCCTGGAAATCTGCTCTGCCAGCTACACACACACATATACAAACGTACATCTCCTCACATTTGGCCCCTCCCAGATCTGTGCAGATCTCAAAGCCATCCCCTCAGCCTTCTCCCCACACCCCTCCCCAACTTCAATTCCAGCGCCTGCCTTAGACTCCCATGCCCAGAAAGGTGGTCACAGTCACCATGCCCACCACCTGCAACTCATTTTCGGGATCCATGTGTCTCAGCTGCACCCCATGCTTCTAGTGCAGAACACAGAGGCTGGGGTCATAGAGACTGAACTGACCAATTTGATGCCTCCATCTGATTCTTAAAATGACTTGCCCAGGCTACAGTCATAAAAAATGCAGGCTGGTGGCCAGCTGGCTTGAGAAAGGATGCACCATGGGAGGGGATGGGCAGTACTCAGAGCAGGTCCAAAAGGGTGTCCACAAAGCCTGCCATGTGCCAAGCCACAGCTACTGGGTTGAGAAAAGTGACAATGATCCTGAAGAAACTGTCAAGTCTGGGACCCAATCTGTATGAGATAAAAAAAAGTAGTACATGTTGCCTGATCAGGACAGTCTGTGATCTCAGCGATTCCTTACAGGCCCTTAGATAACCGAGTGGTAAGACATCAGCCTTGATATTGCCATAGTGGAGATGGCGAGATAGGCTGGTGATGGTAGTGACTGAAGCTAATAGGATAATGAGCCGTGAGCCCTAGGGTGGGGATAGGAGTAGGCCCCTTTAATTCACTCAGGGAGAATCCTGCAATCCCTTCCTACTGCCCAGCAGAGCCCTGAGCTCACGCCTATGCCCACCTGAGCAGTGACCCAAGGCAGCAGCAGGTAGAGGATAATGCCCCAGGTGTTGAGCATGCAGCAGACCTGGTGGGGCAGGGTGGTGAGCGAGAAACAGGTCACCCTCAGCCCTCTCCTCCCTCTGAGAACTCAGCGAAGTTCTCTCTTCCCTGTCTAGACCCTCAACCTTTGGGAACCCTGAGCTACCATGACTCCCATAACCCAGTGGAAGTGCACGAGGGCTTGCTTTGCCAGGCCCAGCCCCCACATTCTCCCATCATCTTGGGAGTATGGCTTGGTGTGGGGCCCCTCTGCAGAGGTGGGAGCCGGGCTAGCCCCTGACTGAGACAGCAAAGATGAGGCTGACGTGCCCAGACCCTTCTGCAGCCAGCACATCAGCAACCAGGAGGAAGGCCAGTAGACCTGGAGGTCTGTCAGGGTGGGGCTTGTCAGTCCCAAGGCCTTAATGGAGGGTGTCCCTAGCCCATCCAGTCCAGGACTCTGGTCCCCACTATCTGGTCGTTTGGCTCTCTCACCAGGGACCCTACCTCGGTCTTGAAGGAAACCCCCAGCAGGGGTGGGTCACCTAGGGTGGTAGCCCTAACACTAGCCCCTTCACCTTCCCCACCCACGAGGGACCCAGCGGGTTATGTTTGCATTTCAGGTCGGTACTGTTCGCTCCAGGGTCCCAGTTTCATCATTGCAGGGAAAATTCAAGTTAAAACCCAGGAATGACCCCAAACATGCTTCACCCTTCTCGCCCCCGTTTCCGCGGGTCTACGCAGTGCAGTCTTCACCCACCCGCCCCAGCGCGGGCCGAGGAACGCAGCCTTTCCTTCCCGGCTCACTCCACCCAACCCCCGCACCCTCCGGCATCCGAGTTTGCCTCGCTCAGCGGCAGGACATGACCTACAGATGGAAGGGGATAGGCGGTCATCTCAGGACCGGGCCCAGGAGGATTGGGTATCGGACTTCGGACACCCGGAGCCCAGGCCCCCCCTGCCAGCGCCGGCTAAAATTAGCGGATGCGGCCGCTCGCTCGGTTGCGGGCGAGTCCCCGCTGCCACGCCGCCCGAAGCAGAGCAAGCTCGAGTGAGAGGGCGAGCGGCCGCTGGTGTCTCGAGAAGGTGACGAGTGGGATGCGGGCGAGACGGGCGGGCACGGCCCGGGGACTGGACCTTTACGCACGCTTCTTGCTCGCTTCGCTGCACTTCAGGAACCTCATCCTTGCGCGCTACGGCCTGGCTGCTTGAGCCTTGGAGT